TAAAACTGGTATGGAATTTTTTCTTTCTTTGATGTTTCAGACGTGGACATGAGTTGTAAGACTCATAGTTTTTTGAGATCTCTAGTATAGATGGTCTCGGATCTCTGGGTGAAGTGAAATCAAGTAGCTGTTTGTGGCAATCAACAAGGTTTTTTTAGCTGTTTGTGGTAATCAGCAGGGTTTTTGCTATATTTTAGCTGTGTAGTGTGCTAACGCTGGTGCTAGGCTAGCCCTTGCTTCTTGCAAGAAAACAGATGCGCTAATGCTAGCGCTGGGCTAGCCCTTGCTTCTTGCAAGAAAACGGATGCGCTAATGCACCGCGCTAGCCGTTGCTTCTTGGCTTTCGAGCCTATGCTTGCTGGCTTTTTGCTGTTGCAAAGCCTAATAATGGCTTGTCTATGTGTAGCCTATGAGGAACATCAAATCACTCGCTCCTAGGGGGCTTTGTTCGCAACAAGCAAAGCACTCTAGAGGGCTTTGCCTCATATGTCAAATATCAGTGATTCAGAGCATTCTTCTACCACCATCAATACTCAGGGTGTAAACTCACATGGGTATCCTTGTAGAAAACCTTGGATTGCAGATTACAACTGTTAAACTTGATGGGACCAATTATTTGGAATGGTCGCAATGTGCTAAAATGTGTATCGATGGTAGACGGAAATTGGGATATATCAATGGTAAAATTATTGAACCTAAAGAGACAAATCCTTCATATTTAAAGTTGTGAGACTAAAAACTGGACTGTAATGTCTTGGTTATTGCACTCAATACAACCTTCAATTAATAGGGGTTTCCTGTTTCTTCAGACTGCAAAAGAAATCTGGGCATTGGTATAACAAACATACTCCCAAAGCACGAATGCGTCCTGGGCGTACCACTTGAGACAGAGGATATCCCATCTTCGACAGGAGCAGCAGTCTCTAACAGCATATTTTTCTTTACTTTGCAGGCCATGGGAGGAATTAGATCATTATCAAATGTTTAAACCAGTCTGTAAGGAAGATGGGCACCAATACAAGGAGCTCGTGGAACAAATTTGTATATTTGACTTTTTGATGGGATTGAATCCCGAGTTTAAGTTAGCTAAGGTTCAAACTCAGTCAGGATACTCTTCCAACTCTCAAACAAGTATACTCCCTTATACAGAGCGAAGAAAGTAGAAAACGTGTCATGCTGCCTACACAACCAATGGATCGTCCTACTCTTGTCTCTACCTCATTGCCTCCTAAGAACAATAAAGGGAGAGGATCACGAAATTTAGTAACGGGAAACCCAATCAAGGAGATAAAAGTAAGCTAAAGTGCAATCATTGTGGTAGGATTGGTCATTATAAAGAGAATTGCTAGGACTTAGTTAGTTGACCGGCAAAATTCAATTGTCCTGGGAAATTCGATGTACGTAATGCTTCATCTACTGGTGATTTAGCAACTATAAATGCAGATTAGGTACAATTCAATGCAGCTACACCCTCGCCTTCTATCCAAAGGAAGATGATATCAGTCCTTAAGGAGGAAATTGAGAGCCTTCGTCAGTTGTTTGCAAAGTTAGATGGCCCACCAACTACCTTCACATCATCCTTTGCCTACTCAAGTATTCATGCTTCTACTAATCATGGCTCCCTTTATCTTTCTGGACAGTCCTGGATCATTGATTCTGGCCCTTCATATCATATGACTGGTATGTCCCCTTTGTCTTCTTCTTATTCTCCTTGTTCTGGTCGAGACAAAGTTAGAATTGTTGACGGTTCTTTCTCTTCCATTATTGCTAAAGGAACTGTAAATATTTCACCTCAATTGCCTGTATCATCTTTTCTTCATGTTCCTAACTTTGCTACAATTCTAATGTCTATTAGTAACATTACCAAGAGTCTAAATTGTAGTGTAACCTTCTTTCAATCCCATTGCAATTTTCAGGACCTAGATACGATGAAGACGATTGTCAATGGTCATGAAGATGGTGGTTTCTACATTCTTGACCCACCTACTACTACTTCTCAAGCTCTTCAATCCAATACTAATGTTAGTAAGATCGAATTTAGCAGTGGCATCTCTAACTTGGTTATTTGTCTTTTCAATAATTGAAAACTCTACTTCCTAAGTTGTTTACTTCTACAAGTGTGCCAGAGCTTCAATTTGCAGCATGTGAACTTTCAAAACATTGTAGAAACTCTTTTTTACCAGTGATAATAAAAGTATTGTTCCTTTTGCTTTTATTCATTCTAACGTGTGGGGTCCATCTCTTGTGACTTCTATTTTTGGTTATCGGTATTTTGTTTCCTTTATGGATGATTACTCTCATCTTATATGGATCTATTTCATGAAGACCAAAGACGGAGTTTCTAAAATCTTTAAGGTCTTTCATAAGATGATTCATACTAAGTTTGACACCAACATTAAGGTACTCAGGTTGGATCAAGGTGGAGAGTATTGCAGTGGAGAGTTATTGTCCTATATTAAAGAACAGGGCATAGAACATCAGAATTCTTGCTCATATACCCCACAACAAAACGTGGTAGGTGAAAGAAAGAATAGACACTTCTTGGAAGTGAGTCGTGTTGTTCTCTTGAGTATGAATGTGCCCAAGAAGTATTGATCTGAAGTTGTGCTTACAGCACCCTATCTCATAAATTTTATGCCCTCTCGTATTTTAGACTACAAATAGCTCTATAAACTTCTCCATCCTGATCATCCACATTTTAGTGTCCCTCCTAAGGTCTTTGGTTTTGTTTGCTTCACTCATGTTCTTAGTCCAAATCATACAAAGTTAGACCTTAAATCAATGAAATGTGTTTTTCTCAGTTATCCCTCCTCTCAGAAGGGTTACAAAAGTTATGATGATCTGGGAAGAAATTTGTTTCAATGGATATAACCTTTTTTGAATCTACTCCTTTGTTCCCTCTCTCTCTTCAAGGGGAGCACAGTGTGGAAGAAAAGCTCTCATGCTCCCCTTCATGTTCCTAATTTTTCTGACTCAAGAGTGCAGGAGGGCAGTGTAAGGAAGTTTAATGATATCATCACCATCATCGTCATCATCATCATCCAAGCCTTATCCAATTAAAGGAATTAAAAGTCCATACTGTGGAGACTACCGTACCTGAAATACCTCAGAACCAGTCTCATACATCTGATCCAAGTAATCCTACTTCTACTTTCATCAGTTCGCTGTACAGAAAGGTAACATTGTTGTACTTCTCAAGCAGTTCGCAGTTTTGGTTCTTATGAATCCTTGTCTCCTTCATTAACAGGCATCCTAGACTAGCAGTATGATGATGGTACAGCTCAATTTGGAAATCAATTGTTTTTGTGCCTAATGCCAAAAGACACTACCTGAATGATACATTTTCATGGAAAAAGCATTATCAGATATTAATTTTGTGTTTGGACTGAGAACATAAGAGTAAGTTCCTGAACTGAAAACAAGGTAGGCTAGTGCAACATCGATGTAACATCAACTTTGACAGAACAACATGGATGGAGAAGGAATTCGTGATTGTGAATTGCAGAATTTGAGATGGTTTGATGATCCTGTCCTGGGTCATACTCAATAATGCATCAGCTGATCTTCCAGTTCTTCATGAAACGTATTGGACAAATTAAAAATATTAAGCCGTATATACCCAAAGCCTAATAACTATTTACAAGAAACAACCTCCAAGGGAGAATGAACTGTGAAAATATGGAATGCGGACAGTGTATACTGAAAGGAAAGATAGGAGCTTATTTGGAAACTAAAAAGCTCCCCAAATTGATCGTATGCCAGATGAGACATGAAAAATGGTAATCCTTAAAATTCCTTCTTTGGAGTTAGCTTAAACAAAGCTCTGCCTCGTGGAAAATCATACAATACTTCCCACGCCTAAGTACAGAATCAGTAGACAGAAACCATATTAAATTAGGGGAATGCCCAAACATTTCAATTAATGCACCTTTGCTGTTATAATTAAGAGAAATATTTTTTTCTTTTCTGAAAAGGCACATAAATACAAACTGTTGTAAACTTATTTAAGCGAAATAAGCAAAGTATATAAAATTTGAACAAATCAGGTTGGATTTGTTAGCCTATAGTGGTTATAAAATCTAGCTCAAACATCATCTTATGCAAAACACAATCAACTGGAATATTCCCAACAGTTATGCTTATCTTGCAGAGCGAAATCTCGGCTTCAACTATTTATATTTCCGTCCATGGAAGATGTTCATCATTACCATAAAACTAAAGATTTTCAAAAACCAATAGGTCACAAATGTTGAAGATAATTGGTCAATACAGTTAGAACAAAGAATGAGTGGTCTAAATTTAAGTTTGATAGACTGCCAAAAGCAGATTCATGAACTACCAGTTGCAGCGGCGAAATATGTGAGGGATGGAAATGGCAACCTAACCATAATGAAATTGATCAAATAATCAAGCAGAATAAATCAGAGCCCCAAGGGAAGGCATTAAACGTTACAGGGATAGAAGGTGACACAAAATTAGCAAACAGTTCGATTTACAAGAAAGCAAAATTTGCATGGAATTCTGCATGGTGGAAGACATAAAAAACAACAAAAAAAATCAACGATATCTAACTTCCAAGGCAGGGTTTGAACTTTGAAGCTTGGACAGCATATCACCATCTCATATTTATCAGATGATAGTTCTGTATCATAGGAAGCTTTATACATATCTTATCTTCATTTGCAAAAAAGAACCCACCATCTCAATTCACCTCGAATTTCATTGCAGCCAAGGCACTTACTTCACTGCTATATGTATTGTCCAATGCATATAACTACGAGAGAGTGTGAGAGAAATTGCCAAAAAATTAAGACAGCATTAAAAAGTCTATCCTTAAAGCATAAGCTTTAATCAGAGAATAAGAACATTATCAATTCTTTGGGTAATCCAGTTCAGAACACCCATTAAAAATAAATAAATACACTAGGTAACTATGAGTACATCGATGAAAAGATGAATTACCACTTTCCTTAGTGAAGGAGGTGTTTCTTGAAGCTTACCAGAACAGTTCGACGAGCTCTCCCATGGTGGCCCCTGAAGGTTGGGCTCACGTTAAGCGTTGATATAGAAGAAGTGGCAAAACCCAAACTCGAATGCGGAGAAAGAAAGAGTTTGAAGCTCTGTTGAGTATCTGACAGAGGTGGTGGGCCGAGGGGATTGATACTGGGGCGAGAAGAATGTGCGAGAGTGGGAATTCGAGGAGAAGCGAAGGTCGAGAGAACTAAATCCATTGGAGGAGCAGAGGGGATTCCCGTTTCTTACTCCATGCGCCTCCTCTCGCTCCTCCTCTCTCTCTCTCTCTCTCTCTCTGAGCGACAAACCGGCAGTAGACGACACATGGATTTTCTGTGGGTAAGGAACAGCAGTCTTGCATGATTGATTGTTAGTATTTTTATATTCAATTTTTAGATGCGCAGTTTGGACTTTGGAAGGGGGTTTATACCTTAAATTGTAGGATTAAGGTGTATTTCAAAAATCTGTTAGAAAAACATTGTTTTGATGTTAGTGTATTTCAACCTTAAATTTTTCTAACCGATTATTTTGACATTGAGACGTATTGAGATAAAAAATTAAAGATTTTTTAATCTAAAAAATAGTATAAAAATATTATCTAAAGGGTCCATTTTTTAGATTTTTATGTGATTGACTGGACCCGGACTTGAACCTGAAGATTATTCGAGTCCATTGCCACCGTATGACTATGAGTTTTTTTTTTTCACTTTTTTTAGTATTATGTATCCATATTATTGACAAGATATACAATATTACATAATATCACATCCCTTACGGTTTTACACCATACTTGGAATCGACAACTTTTATGAATACCCACAACATATACCCATATTATTTGGATTGCGTACAGGTCCACCGTATGACTATGAGTTTTTTTTTTTTCACTTTTTTTAGTATTATGTACCCATATTATTCACAAGATATACAATATTACATAATATCACATCCCTTACTGTTTTACATCATAATTGGAATCGACAACTTTTATGAATACCCACAACATATACCCATATTATTTGGATTGTGTACGGGTCGGATCCGATTGGACCTAAACCTGGTCTTTTGGATTTGATACCATACCCAAACCTGAAGTCGGGTCTACCCGTCAAGCCCTGGGTCTGGTCAGATCCATAGCGACACCTACTTATTATAAAATTTGGAGTTACGTCTTACTTTGATAGTTTAGGGTTGCAATATTATGCAAACCACACCTAAATATATTCCCGATAGATTGTCCATTTACTCCCTCCAATAAAATTCTACTTACACTTAGTTTTAGGCCCTCAAATTTTGAGGCAGTAACCTTTTCAACTCCGAGATTAAACTCAATAAAATAATTTTTAATTGTATCTTTTATGTAAAAAAAATAATGCCTTCAGATTGAAAAGAGACCCTCCGATTTTTAAATGATGAAATCTAAATGTTAGAGAACTTTAAAAAAAAAAAAAAAAATAGAATAATCATCTACTAATTCTTAAATAGTTGCGAAAGATTTAAAAAATCCTCCATGTAGGTCTCAAGAGCGACGGCGGTCTTTGAGGGAGGGAGCACAGTACGTGCTGGTTATTGTAACAGTGGAATGGGAGTTTCGTCCGTTCCATTGAAGGTTTCAGCGGAGTAAAGTGTTGGGCCTTTTCAATTCGTCCGTTCCATTGAAGGTGGGCCTTTTCAAACTCCAAATCCTTTCGAATTCTTCACCAAATAGTCTCCAACCCCGTGCGAAACGGAGAACTCGGACCTTGGATTGCGTTATTTATCCGGGAAAATTGGACAAATTTTTAAAGAGCAATATGATCCTTCGAGCCCCTCACACAGGCCCACTGAATAGACCCCCGTCTTTTTTAATCCCGAAAAAAACGTCCAGTGTTACGTCACCCGTGAAAAAGGTCAAACTCAACCGGGTGAAATGGTAATATTTTATTTTAGTGAGATTGGATGAAGGAGTGTAGAGCAGTTTCTCTCTCTCGTCTGTTTTTGTGTTTTATTTTTTGGGCTCGTTGCTTCTCTCACTAAAAACGTGCCTGGAGCAGTTTCTCTCTCATCTCTCTTTCATATTTCTAGTTTTGGACTTGTCGTTTTTTTCATTAAAATCGATGAGGCCTGTTTTGATAGAATAAAGCGATGGTTTAAAAGACGGATCGGTGATCCGGATCGGGCTTCCAAAAAACCGATCCGGATGGGCGAATCGGCGATTCGGATCGAGAATCGGGTGAATCCGTCATAATAAAGTTTAAAAAAAATTCGAAAAAATTATTAAAATTCATTATAAATATTGGTTTTTAGGAATTCAATAAAAAATGAGGGTACTCCATTAAGAATTTTCATGTTTTTGAATGAATATGCGAATATTGATATGTTCTTTCCCTGCATGAACCGCCATTCAGCATTTAATTTACAGTATTTTGTGCTCATCCCTACACA